AGTAGTATCATCCTCTGTAGTTCATCATCCTCTGTGGTTTGTTCTCGGTTTTGAGGCTCATTACTAGTTTGTCCTCGACATGTCGTCATGTTGTAAACTGGAGCCTCCTTTAACGAGTTTACTTCATGAGTGTTCTTCACTAAGAATTGCTCTTTTGTCAAATAACTGAAGACAAGTTTCGAAATAATCTTTTGAATTGCATAGCAATCAAAAAACTCAAAACTTAATTTCGAAAATAGTTGATTTGTTGCAGTGAAAGAAGCAAATTTTTCACCAGTCTTTGTACTGAGTCATTTTATTATATATTTTTTACTAAAAGTTCAGGCTATGCGTGATTGCTGGAAACGTAAGCCAGTGGATAGACCGGACTTTGTGGAGCTTGTTAAACGGTTTCGTATAATCCTTCGCGCGCAAAAGGTATTTTCTGGAAAAAGCGAAACAAGCATTCAAAATAATACTCGTTACGCAAAACAGGAATTTAATTTGTTTTCAACTTGATAAGCCTCTTTGGTCTACCTATTTCAGGACTTTTAGCATATGGGGTCATCTTGGTGAAAACTAGGCAGCATATTTCCAAGTTGAACCCGTGAAGGGCAAGTCATTTTTTAGATGCATTGCTTATAAATAGCGGTGATTTTGTTAAGTTGTCGTTGTAATCATTTATAAATAACTAAACGCATATTTTACGAGTTCGAGTGTACTCATATACAATAAATTTTTGGAAATTGGGAGAGCTAAACCGAGGGATATTTACAAAAAACTTAAGGTAGAAGCTCTGAAATGTTTTCTTGTCTGATGAACCGCCTGCAAACCTCGCAAAAATCCAGGTTACAAAATTGAAAACATATGATTTGTGAGATAACATATTCATTGTTTCGATGCTAAAAACACGCCCGATCATAACCATCATTATAATTTGTCACCCGCAGTTTGGCTGTTGTATACGGTGTTGATAAAGAACAAAACCCAGGGTTGGAAAACACCAGGCGGCGGTGGGATCATGCGTTTTTGCACTTTTCGTGTCATAGTAAGATCGCAACGAATTACAGTAGCTAGCCCTGTAACATACTGGCCCTCGAAGTTTGGGAAATTAATCGTGCAGATATGTGGCATGTTAGCTCTAGATGTCGACTTCAGTGACCGACAAATAGAAGGTCGTTAATTTGCAAAAAAGGCCCTATTAGAAAAGTCAAATTTGAAATCTTTTAGTCGCACACGGGCATGGGAAATTTCGTGAAAATTAAAGCCTTCCAGCATTTCTCGTTCCCGGGTCAGCATTTTTTCCGCAAAAATTTTCACGTGCTCGTACGTGATTCCTGGACGATCCTAGGTCACTGAATTTGAAAACTTTTGATCGTACCTGAATAGGGAACAGTCCCCTAAAGTTTCGGCTTTCTAGACTTTCTCGTTTCCGAGTTAGCAATTGTTCCGCCATAACTTCCA